TTTCGATTGTCCATGATCTGTGTTTATCAATACCATAATCGCCGTCTTGGAACGATTGCAACTGGCATACGAGAACTGTTCTAGAATAGTTGTTCGTATGCTTCTACAGGTGCTTTAGGTGATTCTCATGTATTTTTATATAACAGACTAGTGGACCCGATCATCGATACGACATGTGAATTTTTGAGATTATCTAGGTTACAAACTAATCCGTAAGTATATTAAAATAGCCTTGTAGCACTACTTTGTATCAACGATGCGTCACTATAATCTACTCATCATAGAGATCACATATTATACCCTCGAGCTCGCAGAGTAATCATCTTCCTAGAGACGTCTTCACGGATCCTTTGTATATAAGTACTTTCACTAATGTTGAATGCTACTAATACTAATTTTAAAAGAAACAATAGTACATGTCCACTAATCCGCGAATATTTGTTGGCAGGTTGGTTCGTGGCTTTAGCAAAACAGCCATCTTGAACTGTTAGGCCTCCTAGACTCTTTCCACGCGCCTTGATGAAGAAATATTTTTGTCACAAAAAAAATACTTACGTATTTTTATTTAATACACTATTCGGTTCTTTTATTAATGTTATGTATCATAAAATCTCGACGCCGTAACTCACAACTAAATCTAATCTAAAATACTCGTAAAAATACTTGTACAAAAGCTAAAAAAAAACTCAAAATTTAATTCGCTCAGACTAAAGTTCGCAAAGCGGATTCTTCACGTTTCGGGCATTCCGAGTTCCAACCCATTCTCGACTTGATTGATTTTGTCCAATGGTATATAGCGGAGACGTTATCGAAAAACATCAATGTCATTTTTGAAAGTAATGGCCTTTATACGATTTAGAATCAGATATTGGTTGGTTTCGTTTCAACACTACTGAAACTTTTGCAACGATCTAAAAAGTCTCGAACTTAAATTGCATTTCACTTGGTTTTTTAAAGAGAACTAATGGATAATTAGACATTTAATTCTTAAATAATATGAACGCTAAATACATATTTTTTGCTTTCAAATGCGATATCTACTTCAATTATTTTTTTGCTTAAAATTTGTAGGACCTTCAGATGCTCTTCTCATGAAGCAAAAAAACTCGAAGATGCTTTGAAAAAACCAGGTAAGCAATTAGTCATAATTATGTATATTTCAATTCAATTTGTTTCAATTAAATTAATATTAAATTCACCCCATCAGTCTTTTATATTCGGCGAATAAAACAAATTTGATAGGTCCAATCTATTTCATTGCGTAAATTATGTCTGAAAGCCTTACGTACCCTCCCTACTATTGAATTAGTCCATTGATTTAATTCAATAGGTTTGATGAGAACTTAGCATTCAAAACTAAGTACAATTTAGTATTCAACGAAATTAAAATTCTAAGTCACTAAAGATACGTTACAGTAAGATACATTAATTTATAGTACAAAGAAGTTGTACGACTCGATTTTAAGCCAGAGCCAAAATTTATTTTAATGTAGATTATTTATTACAAAGTTGATCAGAAGCCTTCACGAAGTTTTCAAAGCTGTGGATGGATATTCATGCAATTAATTCATTCAAAGCGATTACTATGGTCAATACTACAACCAGACGCACGGCTCAACGCAAGGACTCCCGTTGGAGCCTTCTGGAGATAGAAGATGTTTTGTTTTATAGACGGCACATCACGTAGCATTAGTCAAAGCATCAGATAAAACGTGATTTATATACTTTAAAGCCAACAACTTTTTTTCAAATATTCAAAACTTTTCTAAACATAAGCGAGTATAAGTATCCTGATCAAAATTATTTTGCTTCAGCCAAAAATGTGCATTCTACTCTCAATTGTTAATTATCCCATACTGAAACAACATTTTATAATCTTGAGTCAACTACGCTTTATCTTAAATGTTAAAAGCGCAGCAATATCTTACGAAAACATAATTTACACTAACGATCCTCACAACATCGTGCTTGTATTTATCTTGTTGAATTCCGTTACTAATTCCGATTAACTCGTTTAGCTAAAACTAACCGGTGCAACTGGAAAGAAACACCTTGTAATAACGTTAGGTGCGCTTTCAGTACCGAGGTTGGTCTAGTAATGTTAAGGCAATAAAAGTTTACATTGAAACCGGTGTACGATAATCGAATGAAATTCCGTATTGTGCGGATTGCCGCATTAAAATTCCCTGACGAACGTGACAAAGTATACTTTGGTATATGATATTTCGTTATTGCTCAACTATATCTATGTACTAATATTAAAAAGGTGATATTTTTAATGGAACGATTATTTGCCTTGTGTATACATATCGACGCTTGAAAGGCAAACGTGACTATGCGACAATGCGTGAACTTTACAGTAGACTATTTTAAAGTTGAAATACTTAAAAAAAAAATTATTTTAACGATACTAGCTGTAGGATTGAAATGATTTTAATACGAGTAGAAATATATTTTTTTTGCACGTCGAATGTGGTTATTACCTGTCATTTATGTACAAAGCAGTTATTGTCGCTTAGTCACGTTTGCCTTTCAAGCGTCGATATCTATAAAGCATGGAAGGTATTCAAATTTCTTAAAACCAAAGTTTCTAAGCTTTTGATGAAAAGTTTAGATTTACTTTAATTTGGAATATTCAAGATCTAGAAATTTATTAGCCTGATTGTTGCTTGCGAATCACATCACTTCGAGAAACTTTAACTTGGCAGTCAGCTTCTAGTATTCAAAGTAGTTAATTACAATTTATAATACTTTAGTCCACATTTGTATGTACAGAAAATGTGCTTGCTACTAGCGATATTGCAAACAATTTTGAATTTCGTGCTGAGGGTGTCGATAAAATGAAAATTGTTCAAGAAGAAAATTCCAACTAAAGTTGATCGTTTTGGGATACATACATTATTATTTGTAAGCTCACTCTTTGCGTATAAATCCCGCAAAGTTTCATAACCCGAACTTGGTTCTGGGCGGGCCCGACTAAGGTGCTCCGTTCCTAAACTATAAATATTACTTATTGCCACTCACCTTTGGGACTTGTACCAAAAAAATGACCAAATTCTTTTGTTATAATCTATATAAACACTGTTTTTTTTTTTAACAATCCGTTTATTTGATCTTATAATGAAAGACAAACAAATATTTACAGAATTTTCTCCACCGCTTTTTCAAACATCATCTGCAGTCCTTTTAGTTATGGTATCGGATTCAGTAACGCCCAAACAGTAATACAAAAAAAAAGAATGAATTCGGAAACAAAGCGTAATGTCTGAAAGGAAAATTGAACACAGGGGCATCGGAAAACCCGTAGGTTCGGGTGAGCCACAATGTGACGTATTGTATATCTATCGACAGGCCACGCGTTCGAATTAAAAAAGGAGTTTTGGCGCTCTTCCATAGGCGATAGGCACGCCATTAAAATGCTGCAGCGACTATTAGCCGCAGCGAACGTTTTCGCCGCAATCTCTTTCGTGTCGACATTTTATTATCGGAGGAACTGACTCCGCTGTAATCCCAGGCGAGCTGTACAATTTACGATTTATAAAACCACCATTTTCTGTTGTAAAGCAAAACGATAAAGAGAATAGTAATCCTCAACTTCCCGGGAGATCGCGACTCACCCCGTTTCTTGTCTCCCTTTATCTTAATATCCACCGATATTAAAAAAGTTAATCCGAAAAAACAACACGGATATAGTCGTTTTCTTGGTTACCTGTTATCTTTAAACAGGCCGTACCATGAGTACAAAGGAAAGGACATTATCTTTCTTTCTTTGTTCGTTTTCTAATGATTCATGTAAAATTTTCGTCTACATTTCCATTGTAATTGTAAGATCAATGATTAGTAAAGTTTGTTCGGAATTCAAGAAGCAGGTGTACTCTTTAATGTGCCAATACGATTATTTGAGCGAAGAATATTAAATGTGTTCTTAACGACGTTAAAGACACTTTGAAGACTTCTAACCGACGCGGCGGCTAACTTTTCGTATGAGAAGTTCAAAGTCAAATAGAAATGTCAACCAACGTAGTTTTCCAAGTATTCTGAAACTATTTGTTATTAGTTTAAAGCAATTAAAGTACCTAACGGTAATCCGTCAAAGTTTTACTTTGGAAACAGGCGATTGTTTGTTTGTGTTCCTAAAATACATTATTAAAGTTATTTCAATTGAAGCTTTTGGGATTGTTGGTTAGATTGAGGTCGATAATTATTTCTAAGTGCAAATAAAATGCTTCCTATAAATTTTGTTTACGGGAATATCACTAAGCTTAGAGAATAAGTTACAAAAAAAAAAAAGTTGTATATAGGGTACATGGGCGCAAACGCCACTATTAGTAATAATTAATATGATATATTATAGTTTAGTTTATTCTATTTTATTATTTATTTATTATTAGCAAGATGAAACTGTTATTATACCATATTTCATATTTAGTAGACACTGTTTTGATGTGAAAATGTTCAGAATATGTTTAATGTTTATATTTTGGTTTAAAAACACAAATGACTGTATAAATAATTAAATAATAATTAAGCATAAATATTAATTATAATTAGCATTAATAATTTAATTAAATATTGTAATTGCTATGTAAATTATGACCATCTATTATTAGGCTGGATAATAACAATGTTAGTTTATATTAATTACATAGTTAAAAGTAATTTATATAAAATAAATTAATGCCAGTCATGTAAAAACACTAAAATATCTATTGTGAATATTAAGCTATATTTTGTGAATTGTTTCGTAGTAATTACATATTTGTATGTATATAAAAAGTTGTAGTTGCTATAACCAACAAAAAAAAAGCAAATTGTGTAAAAACTGAGACGTGACTTTTTGTTATAAACAAGTAATGTTAACGTCTTATAGAATTGTATTGCATTTTCATCGTAATAGACCTTATGTGTGAAAATCCTGGCGTAACGCCGACATGTACGTTTTATGTTTGACATATTAAAAAATGAATCTATATAAAAATCAACTAGTACAAAAAACATACCATCGTGCGAGTCGTACATGTAGATGATATCTTTCCATCCGTAGTAAATTATAGTATCCACAATAGCCCTGTGATAGTCTGGTCTCATGCTCACTGCGTGATCAATCAAACCAGATGACGGTGGAATTACCTGATCGAAGAAACAATATTTTACTAACACGTAATGGAGGAGAATGTTTTCTTAAGCCCGCATGAAGTCATTGTTATAAATTTCCTCTATTCAATGATGTGGTAATTCATTTCAATGATTAACTTTGTTTTTTTAGGTATTGCTATGTGCATAATATGTTCTGGGAACACTATAATGAAAAAATATGTTTTTGAATTACAATATCATCTGATTATATTTTTCTCTTACAATAATAATAATATGTTTAGCTATAAAACTTAAGATAATTTCTGAACTGTCCTGTTTCTAGTTGATGCAAGCCGGAATTTTTTTAATACATAGTTTACTTTTTTTTTTAAGTTATGTTAAATCAAGTTACTGACATAAGAGAAAGGTAAAACTAATTTGTTGTATTGCTTTCAATAAGAGTTTAATTCAATTATTTTTCAATATGAATATTCAAAAATATTTAAGAAGTATTATTAAATTAAATATTATTTCTGTTTTCGAAACAATAATTCATCAAAATAAATTATACAATACTTTAAATTACATCTTCTAACTCCGTCGAAAGACTAGTAATTTCGTTGACTTAATGAATATAAATGGGTTCAGTCGAAACTTTCAGGTTTCAAACTACTGCAGTTATGTTGACACTCACAGAGTTAGACTAATTTCCATTTGCAAGCAACCCGCTCACAAAATAGTTTCCGAACCATACGGACAATAAATTTTCAAGATTTTTTTTTTAAATTTCGGGTAACCCTAAAATTTTGTCTAATGCCTTTGTGCATTTTTTTCTTTTTCTTTTTTTGTTGCTTTGATGGATGGACGAGCTCACAGCCCACCTGGTTTTAAGTGGTTACTGGAACCATAGACATCTACAACGTAAATGCGCCACCAACCTTGAGTTATAAGTTCTAAGGTCTCAGTATAGTTACAACGGCTGCCTCAGCCTTCAGACCGAAACGCTATATTAACCTTAGCCGGCTCACAACTCAAGCTGTCAGGTTCGAAAAAAAAACACTTGATGCTTTTCGATTTAAAATGTTTACTCACCTTTTCTGGGAACCACGGAGTCACGAAAGGCATTTGGAATGTGTTTGTATAAGAATGCAGCGTGTCGAAGGATTCCGGTGTCACAGCTCCAAGCATAGCGAACACGCCTCGTGCGAACTGGTTGCATACTGTTTAAAAATAAATTAAAAAATACGTTAATCGGCCATTTTTATTGTTTAGTCAATTTCTACTATTTCACTCTTATAACATTGTCCAGGTAATTCAAAGAATCCTAAAAAATAATACACAAGGGTAATGATACAACAAATTATCATTTGTCATAATCCTAGTCTTAGTTTATTTGTCGATAAGATTCTAAAAAAAATACGTTTTTTTAGAACATATAATAGTACATAAAATAGTATATAACATAAAATAGTATATGTGAAGTGCTACTTTCATTGCCACATCTTTACCACTGCCCCCGTTTTGACCCTTTACTTGTATATACATAATGCTGTTTGCGATAAATAATAAAAATAGTTAATAAGCATGAATCATGTTTCAACTTAATAATAAAACTTTTAACCTTTAACATTCTTCGCATTTGAAAATAATTTAAATAAAATTTAACTCTGAACATTATACGAACGAACCGAAGTCTAATTCTAGGCAAAACAAATATTTGCACTATAAACCTAAATATTATTTTTTCATTTCGTTAGCTCGCAATGGCATACCTCTAAAACTCAGCGCCAACCTCTTCAATCACTTAATTTCACACAGTAAATATGCTTTAAGTATGTACTTATATCTTTTAATATAATCAATATTTAAAATTAAGTAATTGACGTCGGTTTTAAACCAGAAGGCTCAGTGAAATTAGCCAATAAAATTCTGATATGTAAATTGTTTGTTGAATTAATTTTCAACATTTGAACATACTAGTATTTTATGGTACTTAAAATAGTGAGTAATAAAACATTTAGCGTAGCTTTTAGCTAACGTAAGATATATCAAGCATAAATGTATATTATAAATATTTCCAAAATGTTATAATTTCTTTGTTAACGTTAATAAAAAATGAGTACACTAGTTCGAATTCGAGTAACAAAAACAAAAAAATACCCTCGGATTACATAAGACAATTCACTTTATTTTGGAGTTCATTAAATTTAGCTCCTCTGACAGGCTTTTAAGGTAATTGCGTTAGGCTGCAATTACAATGAAACGTGGGACAACCTCTACTGAGGTGCTGAGTGTCTATTAATAACAATAAACTCATAACAGCTTCCTAACAAGACATTGTTGGTGACTCAAAATTATAAATACTTTGACATCAGACAAGTTGTTAAATAATATCACACTTATTTTAAAAGCAGACGTCAAAAACTGTGTAACGACATTATTTTACTAAATTAACTATTTAAAGATTTAAATTCTTTAATTTTTAAATTTATTTCAACATTTCCACTAGCTCAATATAGTCCGTCAAAATAATAACATACGTGATAAGCTTTTCCTAAAGTTGAAGCCAATGAAGGGAGCCATACTTAATTTCTAATTCACGACTAAGCATTGCTTCAAACTCAGGAGTACTACCGAAATATGTATGAACAAATTTTGATTCCAAAACAGAATATTTTCCTTTTCTTTCAAGTTAGCTTATGTTAAACTTTTTTTTAATTTTTTGTTTTTAAAAATTTTATCTGATTTATTTTTGTTCCTTTTATTTTTTGTTTTTTCTTTCAGATTTAATTAATTTTATAATCATTTGGTATTAGAACTAGATGTTAGTTGTGATTACCTATAATTAAGTGAGCACATGTCATGTTTTGATATTTTTGTACCCTATGTTTAAGCCAGTGTTTCATTTGTTGGTGATCCATTAAATAAATAAATAAATGAACTTAAAACGTAATCATTGACATGTGTGACACCAGTCATTTGTTCGTATATTTTGTCAAAAATGTAACCTTTTCTCACAGAAATCACAACTAAATATTAAAACCATTTCATTAGTAGTAAAAAGATTTTCTGGTGCGCAATAAAATGCTTAGTTGAATCATAATTTAGCTTGCGTAACCAAGAAATTTAATAAATTCATTTACGGCTTAATAAAGTTTATTAAAACTTGGACGCACCTTTGTTTCTCTCTGCGAATTTCGTTCGTAGATGTCATCTTTTGTATTTAGAAACATTAACATTTTGATTATTAAAAAGCACCGTCTCTGATACTCTTGATTTAAAATATTTTTTCATGATATGAAAACTTTCAAATTTCTCAATGAAAAGAAATGAAACTATGAAATATGTAATAAAAAAAGAATACAATTGTTGTGGAATAAAGGGTCCCATCGTTTCGTATGTATAGCTTCATTAAAGATAAATTTTGCCCTATGAATATAAATTAAAATTGACAAAACTGGGAAGAGAATCAATCACTAATTATTGCCTTTTAGAAGTTTCTTTCATGAGAAATAATAGTCAGAAAAACAAAGAGTCGATTGAGATAAAAAGCCAAATAGAGGTTTTTCGGAGATCTGCCTGAAATAGATACTTTGAACGTCGCCTTTGACCAACTCTGTTTCCTGTTGTTTTTTTTTCATTACGGGCCCGACTTCTTTCACATATTTTATGTTAATTGGTTATCGGTGAGTCCTCATAGATATGACAACATCAATGCCGCCAACCTTGAGACACGAGCTCTAAGCCTGAATAGTATGACAGCTGCCATACCAAACCGGAAAACAGCAATGCTTCGCGGCGGAAATAGGCTGTTGTACCGGATATAGATTCTGGAAGGCCTACGTAGTCACGTGTCACTTCTTAAAGGCAAGGTTATAGTGCTAAACAGAGAGATAATATACAAAATAAATAAACATACATCATTAAAAAAAACCCATCTATTACACAATTGGTAATCGGTAATCAATGCTTTAAGCTACTTTTAAAGAATAGTGAAGGAACATTATTTATCCGCCTAGTGTTGTTTGCTTGTTTATGCTTTATCGATACTGTTGATTTATTATGTGTGTTTAAGTATATTGGAATATAAATCATATTATATGTAGTGATTTCATATTATATTTATTGGTATATATCTATTTAATATATGTATGTATTTCCTTTAATAATGTTTTATTGATAGTACAACGTAACATACCTGCTGTAGCTTTATCTTTTCCAGAATTTCTGTTAATTGAACGGTTATCTGGAAGAAATCGCTTTTAGCGATAAGACCGCCTATTGTACAAATGTATCTGTACGTTGACTGTTTTCTGATATTAATTGTGTTTTGGTGTGCAAAACTGGTAACTTTGGTGTGGTATGTTCTGTCTCTCTCTCTCTAATCAATATTATTTAAGAAAACATAGAACCGTATTTAAGCTATACTCGTATCTACATTTTTTAATTCAGTTTTAATATGTTTCAGTTACCCGGAATATGGGTGAATCTAATGTAATATAATAGGAATTGTAAAATCTTTTATAATAGTAGATAAAAAGCTCAGTTTATATTTAATGAACAACCACTTGGACGCGAAGGTATTTAACCCATAGTTTCCTCGAGATCGTTTGTCAGTTGAACGTATTGGTACTACGATGAAATGTAAGCCCAAATCAGTACATAAATATTGTATAACTAAATATCTACACATGCATTATATGCATGTAGGATTGGTAAGAATGGAACGTATGAAAAGAGTGTGAAACGGAACGTTAAGATGTGATTGAGAGAAAACAGAAAGACTGAGAAAAGGAAGATGGTGAAGACGATCAAAAAATGAGCAAGGCGTAATAAAAGTGTTAATTAATTTTTAATTATTATTATAACAGAAGATTTTGGAACAGTGGAAGTTTTATTTAAGTAACCACTTAACACCAGGTGGGCTGTGAGCTCGTCCATCCATCTAAGCAATAAATAAAAAAAATGCGCTACGACTCCTTTTCTACATGTACATTACGTCAATTAGGTTAAAAAAAAATCACATTGAACTCTCCAAAACACTCTGAAGAAACTCCTGTTCAAAAAAAGAACTATACTGTTTTAACTTTGTCTATTCATATCAAAGATACAAGTGACCGAATTTTAATATATTAATAGTTATCACCATTATATTAATAGTCTGCAATATCATTGAAAAATAACAAGGCGTCTACAACGCCTAAGATAAATGACAATTTTCGAAAAAATATTTACCAACTTCGCGTCATATTGATGAGACGAATAAATTATCCATATTTTCTCAGGATTGATTGATTGAACTGAGGTTGAAACCAGAAAAGGAATACCAAAGACAACTGATTATTACAACGAGCAACAGGTGCATTTGAAAAGATATTTTTACGTTAATAAATCATAATATAAACGAATCTGAATACTAGAGGCATATTGATTTATATTCAGTTTTTTATTACTATTTTCAAGGCCATGTGGTGTAAGCATAATCGAGTAACGTAGCCTATATTACTATTATAATAAAGTGGAAATCACTTTTTCAGGAAATACAACAGAAAAGCTATACATATAATATATAGAGGTTACTGTACGTCACAAAATTTGAAGTACCTCAGTTCCCTTATGGGATTACGAACTCCAGTTTATGTTAGAGGCACTTAACCCCGAAAGTAAGTACATCTTGCCAAATACTACTATAGTCTCGTAAATTGGAACCCCTACCACCGAGACGCGTATTGGCGCTGTAATTGAATATTGCGCGACGAGAGGTGGAAGTGGTGGGCAGGTATATGGTACATTTGGATTTTGAGGCAGCTATTCCACAAAAGGCGAACGCCGCAGAAGGCCGGAAAGCACTCGTCATTAACGAAAATAGACGCAAGTATCTGTGGCCGACGCTCATTCTCTTTCACGGGCAATTTGCTTTTGTTTCTCTCCTTTTTTAATTTCCAAGCTGGCGTTTTCGTATTATTCTTACTCAGCGAGGAGTATTTTAACATGTTGTTATTTTTATTTACTATCCTAGTTTTAATTATTACTAGATGATGACTGAGCTTTGCTTGGTTTTTTTTTGATGGCGCCATCTTGTTGTGTCTTTAAGGCGGTTAGTTGCCCTCAATTAAGAAAAATAGTATTATTATTCGCCAATAGATGTCGGGAAGAGTTGATTATTGAAAACACGAATAAAACAATATTTTCTGAAAATAAATCGTAGCTAGATCGTTTTATCGCCCCCGAAATCCCAGGTATACTAAATTTTATGAAAATTGTTGGAGCCGTTTCCGAGATTCAGATTATATATTTATATATACAAGAATTGCTCGTTTAAAGGTATAAAATAAGATACCTGGTGTTCAAGGAGTGACGGAATGACTTTTAAAAGTTCGCTGTGTAGTATTGTAATGGACTGCTATTTTTTGGAGGGATTTTTCAACCATTTAAATTATTTACATCACAGAAGTTTTCATGATTATTTTTTGTGTTTAATATGTTCATGAGTGAACAAGCTCCCCGCACTCTTGGTTGAAAGTGATTACCGGAACTCAAAGACGTCACAACGTGTGTACCGCTACAAACGTTTTACATAAAATGCACGTGCGTGCAATGCTTGTGTAATTTCAGTGAATTTTTGTAACTGATTATACTTATTTATTATATTATAATTATTTTATAACTGTTTATTGATTAGCCTTTAAAGATCTTGATAATTTAAAAATCATATCACAATTTGGTCATAGGAAATATTGCGAAAGCCAGGTAGAAACATATATATATATATTATTATTATTATTTTTTTTTCTCCGTGGACTAACTTTGCTTTCGCGTTCTTTAAACGAGCTACTGTTTCCGCTTACATTTATATAAAGTGCACAAGACGCGATCTTGTAATCCAGCTCAAAATTATTTTTCTGTATTATGAAACAAAACGTATACCAAATAAAATAGATACAAAAATAAATCGTTCACTCAGTGTTTATCTTACGTTCGAAGTCGGCACCAGTGAGCGTGAAAGAATTATCTACCGTGCCTCATACATATCGCGTATACTTCAGTTTCGTTTGCACGGAGGGGAAGCTTTTTATTTATTCAAAATATCGGCGTAGAAGTTTATATTTAATTTTCGTGAAGAACATACGAGAAATATGTATAAATTATATATTAGTTTGAAACTGGTGGTGGTGAATTTTAAAGCCCATATCACTATGTTTCATCTTACCAGTTTCTAAGAGAAATGAAAATGATACCCCAATCTCATGTCGCAACAAACTTTTGAAGCCGCTAAGCATCAGGTATAGACTTTAGATAAATAATAATTATTATCATACTTTGTTTTGTAAAGTACAGATTTATATTCTTCACAACATAGTATGAACCGTGAGCCGAACATGTTTATTTTATAAGAATATAGTATGCTTCTAAAATTACGAAAAAATGTCACGGCTTATTATTCTGAAATATACGAAAAAGTCTTTAGGGATGTGCTCCTATTCGGGGTATCGATCAAGTCAAGGCGCGTCAGGGCCATAAGCGAGAGCCCTACTCAGACACGTGACTTGGTGGTAGAATTTCCCTTAAAAACATTTCAGCAGACAATCAACTTCGTTTGGGACAAACATTTAATATTTGATTAACGATTTCTTTGAATTGAAACTTATTTAGGGGCATTGGGAGTAAAATTTAACTCGAGACAGATTCGTTACGGCTAGAGAGAAAAGATACAATTTAGGAAGAGCGAGAGTGAGAAAGTAGGCAGAGCGTCTCGAGAACCACTCGAGCGTGGAGAGGGAAAAGATAAAACGAGCTGGGTCGTTTTTCTGATACACAGCATCCCGTATTACAAGAGAAATTTGATTTAAGGATAAAAAATGAAGAAAACTACAGTACTACACACCGCCAAAGAAGTTTCACTTCTTTCACGTGCACCAAGCTGCACGCACAGCATTATTTTTCACTTGGAAGCAGGTAACTGAATTCTAAGTATGCAATGAATTAGACAATTTAATTAGTACATACAAACATATATGACAAAAAGCCGGATGATACGTATTTTTTATTATGATAATAAATATGCTATAAAAACGTGTATGTTATAATATAAAAAGGCAGCATCCTTATAACTGAGAACTTGAACTCATGTTTCAAGGTGGTTTTTTTTTAATTGCTTTTTTAGGCAGACGAGCAAATGGCCCAACTTAAGGTAAGTAGTTACAGCCCCTCATGGACTTCAGCAATGCCAGGTGCAGAGCCAAGCCGCTAAATTTGCGTGCTGGTGGCGGCATTTACTTTGTAGCTGATGCCTATGGGCTCCGGTGAACCTTTAACAACAGGTGGGCCGTGAGATGGTTCATCTGTCAAAGCAATACATAAAACCTGCATAACATTCTCAATGCTCAAAGCACATGAGCCTATGGCGGTAAAACACATATATGTAATATCCTAAAATTATTTGATTGCTTATAACACAATGGGACAGAATCTCGTAAATTTTACAATAATCACTAAGGAACATTACAACGCAGGAAATTTATTACACGAAAACATAATGATTAATGCCCTTTTATAAATGCGATCTATTTATAATTTCGAAACTAATTACCAATGTCAAGCCCAGTGATGAGATAGCGCTGAACTCATAAAGTTTAGAATACCCCAGAAAACTCATTAGCGATAAATGTTTTATGCGAAAATTTATTTGTCGCCCCGTTTGATACCACATCTTAACATTAGATGAGTACAGAAACTGCAGACGTAAAGATACAAATTTACGTTAAATTTAATGCAAAAAGAATGCTTAATGTTTTATTTTATACACAAAAATCTATTAATAATCATTTGAAACTTTCATGATTGATAAACCTTATAAATGATCGTAAGTAGAGAAAAATACGGTTAGACTCAATCGTGATCATGGCGTTTATAAATTGAGATAGTAAAATTCGCGGTGAAGTCGTTTTATATTAATATTAAGTATTTCTAATTTATTAATCACCAGCGAATGAGGAACACGCTTCGCTGTGACAATCATAATATGTATACTTTACTAACATTAGTTGATGCTATTCACAAATCATCTACCGTATGTTATGGGTATTATTCCAGAAAAGGATAACTAGGATCAACAACTTTATTGTATAAATAAACGAACACGAACAAATTTAGCGCGAACACATTTAACACTGACTTGTTTGTCAATTCAATATTAATAAAAATAATATAATAATAATTTTTTATTTCAGAATTAAATTCCATATGAAGTGTTAGTAATACAAAATCTTGAAGTGTTAGTAATACAATAATAATTAATGACGATAGTATGTATTTTTGAAATGGAATGGCTGTAATGGAAACTGTTGTGTTCTAATCAGAGAATACTATATCATTACTATATGTATTACACCAAGAAAACATCTCTTAGTCACATAAGATTTTATACGTAACGTAGCCTTATTTTTATATTCCAATACGTTAAACAAACACTTATACAGCAAACACGACTTTAAATATCCAGCAGCGATGGAGTGGTGTAGATGTATCACAATAGCGAAACATTATAGTGCATTCGATAAATACTCACTGAGTCGTGAAAGCTTGAATGCATCGGCTGTGTTAATGACGTCCACATATGCTTGCAGCTCGAACCTTCGACCGGTTATATTTTGGTTGTGCATTGTCATCGCGTACTTGAATACATTCTGGATCTCTTCAGTGTTCTGGTCAAATATTGCTCCTAGGAAAAGACGTAATAAATTATTGTTATTGTTTTTTTTTTAAGATTGCTTTGTAGAGGAATAAATACACTTGATGTGAACTGGTTACCGGTGCCTCTAGAAACGACAGCGTGAATACTAAGTATTGCCTTGACATTTTATTTTATTTTTTATTGTTTAATGGATGGACGAGCCCACAGCCCACCTGGTGTTAAGTGGTTACTGGAGCCCATAGACATCTATAACGTAAATGCGCCACCCACCTTGAGATATAAGCTCTAAAGTCTCAGTATGGTTAGAACGGGTACCCAACCTTCAAACCGAAACGCATTTCTGCTTCACGACAGAAACAGGCAGGGTGTTGGTACCTACCTGTGTGGACTCACAAGAGGTCCTACCACCAGTAAGATTATTATCGTTTCTTTTATTTTAATACTATCCTATCCTTGAACCGGTTTGCATGACTGTTTCACAGCAGAAATAGGCAGGTCGGTTGTACCATACTTGTAAGTTTGCAACCTGCCGCAATTTATAACTTTAGATCAAAGCATACATATTCTTCTCACGGGCGCCGAGAAACTAGTCTACCAAGAAAATTGCATACCCGTATTTTAAATTTTACAGTTTTAAATTTAAAATAGTAACTGTACATAAAAGCCCAGTACATACAATCTAATAATATGTATATATAATCTGTATATATTATTATATAAATAAAAAATGTAAATTATAGTTACTAAATTTATAGAAACGATGGAGACACTCGAAGATTCGGAATAAACATTAATCTAACTTGATGTTTTATTGCAAATATAAAATCTATTGGCGAATAATAATACTATTTTTCTTAATTGAGGGCAACTAACCGTTTTAAAGAAACAACAAGATGGTGTTATCAAAAAAAAAAAATCATCGTCTAGTTTTATTGAAGTGTCATCATCGGCTTAATTAAACACATCAATCTCAATATTAGGCTATTTCAGTTCTGATTGATAGCCTGAGAGTATTTTATTCGTATTATGAATATGTTATAATCAGTACAATAACAATTGAACGATTAAACCAACAATTGGTATAAAATTTTCATTTCATTAATGTATTCCAATATTATGAATAGTTTTAAAACAAATAATCCTTTTATATGTGTTTGTTTTTTTTACCAAAACAATCGCCTCGTACTCCGCTACTGAGATGTGAGACGGATTACCACCAACAAAAGAACGTATCCCTTTCGTTAATCTTATAGTATTTTCTAAAAAGAAAATTCTGTTTGATATTTGGAAAATATAAAATATATATTTCATTTCGAAGCAAACCGTAACCAATTGAAAACAAGAGTGGACACACTCCATTGGATATCTTTATCGTGCGCTGAAAAAGACCGCGCCCCTATTCTGAAAGCGTCATCCGTTTGATATATGATTGCTGACCGAAACGTTTATCTGAATCACTGAAGCCACAGTTCGCTGGCTCCTTTAATACCCCCCTATCCGCAACTTCGCCTGGTTTTAACGTGACTCACTGTCACTATGTCTTTTTTCATTCGCATTATGGCTGGCGGACATTATGTCCTGAGAGCCATTCTGAGTTTCCATTCCGAGCTATATTTCTTCCATTTGCAACGTCATTCCTTTTTGTATTTCACTCGCTTGTTTCAACAAGTCCACTGAGGTGTTTAATAATGGAATGGATTGTACTATAAAACATTACAGTGCAGTGTATGGCAAGCTAATAATTTAAGAACGATTGTAATGATTGTTAATACAAATTTGTAAAATAACAATGTAGTTTTAAAATAAAAAGGCGTTAGACTAGTGGTTTATTAAGAATAGGGTCCCAGAAATTACAATCAAATAAAACATACAACATTATCGTAAAGACGTTGGTTTTAAAAAGCCATGGATCTTCTTTAATGGCAAAAATTGATTGAAAATTGGAATCTCCTAAAAAAAACACGTTTTAACGGTTTCGTTTCAAAAATTTATAGTTTTATCTGCATAAGCCTTCAAAAAATATATTTTTTTAACCTCTACTTAATTTTCATAAACCGGGAGTTGTTTGCAGAGCGAAGTGTCTTACCTAGCAGAGACTGTAACTTCATTAAAAGAGGATTAAAAGAAACTTTTTCTACGCTGCAAAGTGTTCTAAGTCTTACTCGGACGAAGCTGTTATGCTTTCATGAAAATCTAAGTTTGTTATATTGCTATTTTTTTTTACTTTACGCAACTTTTGCTTCTCAGTTTCATATAGCCTTGGACTCTACAGTGTAAATTACCTGAATGAATTATTATTCACGAGGAAACGAAAATTCCTATTATTTAACATTTCGATATTTATGTTTTTAAAAGTTTTAAAATGGAAGAAGATATTGTATCAATTACTATATTCATTTTCATCTTTAGAACAAAAAAACTATTTCCAATGTTTCTATTGATAACACTCAAAAATAAATGATGTTCTATCTTTGCCTATTTAAATAAAAATAGAGACTAGACTATGTTAGGAGAAACGAAGGTTTTGTAGAAAGTGGTTAAACATCGCTTTTAAGGGTGTTAACCATCCTTTAAGCATCGGTAATACCTGAAGCTTAGCCAATATCACTATAGCTAAAGATTTTTTTCAGGCTTCGCTCCAACAAGGACACGCTATCACACTGTGGAAACACCAAAAGAAGGATTTCTTTCCACAATTTGATGAAATATGGCGATTTTTTTTTTCTGAAGCTGTCACTAAGTAAAATTGATTACAGAACAGTTTATATTAATTTCTGGAGTACGTCGGCTTAATCGCATAAATAATTTTCTGTGTTCTACTAAATCTAAATATTGAACTAGCGACCCGCCCTCACTTCGTTTAAGAAACTGTAATTTATTATTGATTTCTCCACTATTTGATGGATGTTATTATACATATAAATCTTTGTCTTCAATCACTCTATCTACTAAAAAAAACCGCATCAAAATGCGTTTCGTAGTTTTAAAGATTTAAGCATACACAGGGATATAGGGACAGAGAAAGCGACTTTGTTTTTTATTATGTAGTGATAATATATGTAAGGAGCTTCTATTTCTGAGGCCTGCTTATTATGACCCAGTGTGAAAATTTATGAATTATACATATAAAGAAGACATTCAAGCCGTACGTACGCATTTATAAAAAAAAAAAACAAATAGATTATCGCCCGTTTAAATATTTATTCCATTCATTCGTGCAATTTTCAGACCTTTCATCACAAACTATTTTCCAATCTCAGTACAGTATCTCGGCTCAGATAGAAAAGGCCGGTCATCGGATAATATTTGTATTGCTGGTTCGTGCCTTCCCGCCTGTAGCAGTGACATCGCCTATTGAACCATAAATAAATACAAAGCGGAATTCTGACAAAACGAGATTTGAGCAGTTTTTATTGAAAAAGAACATAACTAAATTTCACCCTTCGATTTGAGATTGTATTTTTAGTATACACGATAACAGCAGTGAGAGTCTGAGAATTTACAAAAAAATTGACACGGATCTGCTTTCGTAACTTTTTAGCTCTTGTCTTTGCCTTGATTTATGCTTTTGTCATTTGGTTACCGAACTCTTGATATATTGCGGGTGTTACAATTGCTATTGTTTCTTTTAAGAGACAAAAATTAGTAAAGGCTCTGCTATGTTTATGTTTAAGCATACATTTATGTTTAAGTATACATGTAAGTGATAGTTTTTAAGCACGAATATTTTAGTTTAAAGCTGAACTATTGCTGCTCATGTCGTGTCTACAGGTGATTTTTATGATGTGTATCAGCAAATCCTTATCACTTGGCGGTACCCTTGATACCACCGTCTACCATGGTCACAGAGCACTCGAAGACAAGACCAGATGGCACAACTGAAGGCACGATTGAAGGAGGAGAAGGGAAAGCATGGACTATGACAAACAAATAAAATTTTAATACATAGGAACAACTTTAACATATTTAGTGAAATGTTAGCTTCAATCTGTTTTTTTTTATTGCTTAGATAGGGGACGAGCTCACAGCCCACCTGGTGCTAAGTGGTTACCGGAAGCCATAACGGAAATGCGCAACCCACCTTGAGATATAAGTTCTAAGGTGCCAAGTATACCTAAGTAGTTACAACGGCTGCTCCACCCTTCAAACTGAAACGCATTACTGCTTTCTGCTTTCTTTCACGGCAGAAATAGACGGGGTGGTGGTACCTACCCGCGCGGACTCACAAGAGGTCCTACCACCAGTCTTATTGAATCATCTGATATATCGTAAAAATAATAATGAAGTGCTGAAATTCGATGACGTTTTAAACTCACTGTGATCCTACTACTAACTGTAAATGAATCTAATCTAAATTAGTAGTAACTAATTTGTATTATATTTATATTATATTAGTAGTAACTAATTTACACCCTCAAACTATTTCAGTGAGCCTCAAATGGTTAAACGTCATTACACTCGACTTATACTATTGCCGCTATTATTTTATATTTTCTCTGTTCCACAAAGCGTATGCACGTATTCAAGAGCGATGCAGTGAATTGTGAAGCATTGATAGACGCTTTGTTGTTTGCTAACTGAGTTACGTCGCATTTCTGCCTAATTCAAGTTTGTATTGATCGTGTCACTAATATTAATAGTTAGCGGTTCGTCTACATACGCGAATATAATTTTCGCTTGACACACAAACTTATTGTAGACATACAATGCAAATCAAATAAAAAAAAAAAAAATTCAACATAAATGAAAGTACATACTTGTTGAACGTCAAAAAGAACTACCGCCAATTCACAAAAACTAGCCTCCGTCCTGAGAAGAACCGGTAAGAAACTCAGCGGGCATGTCTTTTTTCTTTTATTCTTTTTTACTTATTTTTTTAATGTTAGAATTTTTTTTTTAATTACGTTACCTTGTGTGTGTGACCTTTGAATTGTTAAGACTCTGAATAATTTTAAAAACTTTTCTGACGTTGAACCTTGTTTAAAACTAAAATAGTAATATTATCAAGTACAATTATTATATTTTGA